CCCCAAAACCCCAAAACCCCAAAACCCCAAAACCCCGATAGTCAGTATTATAAGAATTTCAAGGAAATTAAGAATTTAATTAGAAACTTTAATCTTAACATGAGAGTGTCAATTATGAATTTGTCTCTCAAAGATAAGAATATAGCATTCACTTACTACTACTTACTAGGGCATTATGTTGTTTACATGTAGGTCCTAAATGTCATACCACTAATCTGTGGGTTTATGATGTATCTAGACTCTGTACTTGCCATCTTCAGCCTATCCATCATGAATGATATTTGCAACCAAATCGTATTTATACGACACCTTTTCTGTGGCAGCTTTATCCCCATTTACTTCTTCTTTATTGCCACTACTATTCTAATCCCAGATATATTCAGTTAAGTCTAAGTTTTTAATAGGAAAATTGACTATTGTAGGATTTTTCTCAATGAAATAGTCATTTTTGTGGAATCTCTTGATATGGATAATAAGATACTTAGGCAGTGAGACAATTCTATACTTTTTCTTAATGGCTGTGACTCTTTCCTCTATGAAACTCTTTCCATCAAATTTCTTAAGCAAAGTCATCAATGGAATCTAAGGAATACTAGCCAATTAATTCTGCTCTTTAAAGAGTGGCACCTGAGGCAAATCTAAAGTAAGGAAAAAGAACTTAGTCTTTTGATTCTTCATCTCGTACTGAACATTAACATCCACATTGGTCTTCATTGCTGCAATTTTATTTAGAAAATTCACATCTTTATTCTTAGGAATAAGCTGACTGAGTTCAATTTCTCCCTAAAAGGTATCCTCAATCATTGTTTGCTTCTTGCCTTTAGAGTTTTTAGATGCTAAATCTTCATTAAAAGTGTTTAGGAACCAAGTGAGTAGATTGATAGGGTCCTTTTACTCTCCAATCTTAAACCTTTTACTACTCGCCTGGGAAATAGACTAAAGCACTTCGTGTGGACTGACATGGCCTTTGAAGTTTTTAGGATTCCATATTTTCTTTACAAGTTCTGCAAAATTCAGAACTAATAGGTGCTTTGGATCAACATTATTGAGATTTTCACCAGATAGCTTGTAAATCAAACAAAAGTCTCTCAGAGGCTTTATTCTGCATAGAGCTTGTATCATCACATTCACATAATCTGTTTGCTTTAGATTATTTAGTCCCAGGCATCCTGGATAAAACTCAGTACCATCAAGCGCTCTTGAGAAAATAGGCTCACTGTCTAGCTTATCAACGAGTTACTGATTATAGAGAGGTAACAGATTGTATTTTATGTCATTTAAGGCGGCATCCTCAACCTCATAGTTATCTGGCAGACACCAAACTCTAGAGTCATGCAAATTTATATAAACATTATGAGCCTCCTCCAAAGAATGTGTATAGGCTTGAGTATTCTTGCCTTTACCTTGGAAATACCTACCGCATGTTAGACAAGAATATATATTTAGATTTGACAAAGTGACTGAACATTATCTTTCAAAATCGAAATCCAACACATGACGCTTTATTTAGCCTAAATAAGGACAGTCTTTCCTCTACCTCTTTTAGACTTGCTATTCACCATTGCTTTAGTCTGTTTTATCACCCTCTTCCTAATTCTTTTGATAGAACTAAGATAAATCTATCTCTGCCTTTCGCTTCTTAAGCAAGTTATCTTTATGATTTCTTTCCATTGTCAATTTATTATTATTTATCTTGTTATCTAATTTATCTTAGCAAGTGGGGTTTTGGGGTTTTGGGGTTTTGGGGTTTTGGGG